TGGATACACTTCCTGTATAAATGACCCACTGGTAGTCTCAAAAACCTACTTATAGATGAAACAAAGGTATTTACTTGTTGTCATCCACAATCTGTTGTCATCCACAATCTGTTGTCATCCACAATCTGTTGTCATCCACAATCTGTGACCGTGTAGCGAAGTGGTAACGCGTCACCATGACGAGCATGATTCAGTTTCAAACCACTTTAGAGAGACCCAGGTTTTCATTGTTTTCGCGTGCTACCTACTCAAATGAACAAGTAGTGCTATGTCTATTAGTACAGGCATCGAATTACTACTCACATGCATACAAAAGAAGTCTTTATCTTCTTCTTTAACTTCTCTTGAAAGGAATCTGATTTCACCGACTGGGCTTTCACAAGGATTTACTGGCTATTCTATTTGTTCTCGTTAGCATACTTTAACTGTTCGATATTAAATAAAGATTTCACTGAAGCCAGTCTGTGCCAATCCAAATCCCTCAGTTTAGGCAAATTCTGGTACCGTTTGCGACTAGGCCTACTAATCTTAACTTTGAGGCAGCCTTGAATACAGCCATTGCCTCATTTGCCTTTTTCCACAATCAGCCAGATCATCCAGCCTGGCCTTCTCGTTCCTCCGAGTGTCCGCCTCATACTCCAGCAGGACCTCTTGTTGCTGTCCAGCTCACGCCAGCTTCAGCGGAACGTCTGGCTCAATTGCTCAGTGCTTCTGGTCCTCTGCATCTGGTGGCATCGAAAGAGTTGAAAGATGGGATGCCGCCCTCTTCAGATTCTGCTACAGCCGCCCAGTTGACCTCTTCCTCATTTTCCACTTCGCTAACCTCTTTTCGATCATTATGGAATCCTGATCCTCTCTCGCGAGACCCGTCTATCTCTGACTCCTGGCCTCCCGCGGGACGAATAGGGCCTCTTTTAGGCGCCTTTGTCCGGCCCTTCCTAGTGCCCACCAGAATCTCCATGAAGGGTACAAAATCCAGTTTGGTCGCCGCAGAAAGTGCTCGGGAGGGCGCTCGAAGCGATGACATTGACCGACAAAAAAAACATTTTTTCTGGGTAAGCCGTGGCAATGCTTAGTGCGGTTTGGTTCGTCTCCGAAATAGATGTCGCAGACTGACCTAAAATGAGGAGAATTCAAGATTAGTCTCTTTATGCCTACTACACCAGCACCATTTTAGTCCATTTGGCTGCTTATACCTTCACGCAATGGCCTTCTCACAATCCAAAGTGGCATGGCTCAAATCTCCTATGGATATTCTCATCTAGTTACCTACTTATGCATTTATTAGTAGTCCCTTCTGAAAAGTTAGACATGCTAATACTTATGGAGAATGCGGAGATTGTCGAACTAGTCAAATGGGCATTGTCGCTCTTCAAATTGCCTACAAGCAATCCACATAAGATATGAAGAAAAACTTATAAACAAGCAACTTTTCCTTTGATATGGAATGCAATGTCGCAATCCTCAGAAGGATCATTTAAATTTCCAAATGATATTCTTTTATGGCTTCTTTCTAAATTGTTGAGTCTACTTCCATTTCGAGTGAAAGTGTTGGATGAAGAGATTCGAAGTTCGAAGGTATCATCGTCACAACAAAATTCTTGACTCGTTAGCTTGAATTTTCTTGTGACGATGATACCTCGCTCTGATGATGTCCGTCATATGACGGACAAAAGCTTAGCACCTTTTCACCGGAATCGAATGAGCTTACCTCGGAAACAGTGTCAGCATGAATCTTCCAGTAAAGCCAATCGATAGCTGGTCAAGAGGATTCCGCCGTCGTCTTCTGGTGGAACCGAACTTCGAATCTCTTCACCCAACACTTTCACTCAAAATGGAAGTAAGCTCAACAATTATGAAACAAGAGATTCCTCGAAACCCAACTTTTCTTCTCATATACTCTCTAAACGTTTATTAGTAGACTATTTTGATGAGTGAAACAAGCTTATGCCTTTGGTGAATGTTTAGAGTTTCGGACCAACCTAGTGAGCATAATCACTCTTTAACCAAACAATTTTACTTTTTACTAAATCTAAGTAGTTTGGGGATTCTTGCCTAAAGGGGAGATAAGTAGCTGAGTTTTCATTAGCAACCTTTTTATAGGCTTCTAGATACGGCTGAAATGCCAATTTCTCTCATGTTTGAATCGGAATGCTGCTAAATTCATACAGAAATTTAGATTACATACAAACCGGGGTTGGCTATTTGGGGGTTTATGAATCAGGAGTGGGGCAAATAAAGTACCTAAATAGAGGACTTGTCTTGCCGACGGTGTTACTGTGGCTTTTGAACTGAATCAGGAATCGACGCTTCAAAGAGTTGAACTTATCAACGTGAAGATAACGTGACTGTGAGCTGGATTGCTCCCATTTTCCCTCGAAGGTCGTAAAGGCCGTGTAGATCATATGGCCACGTTTGTGTTGCCTGTGGTTTGTCCAAAAGTAGACTAATGAGACTTATCTAAATAAGTATTATGTTTGGGAATTCGAGGTACAGCAAAAGGCTTTCCCATGCAGATACTAACATGAAAAAGGCCTTTCACTATTTTTTATCGCCAAGGTGTGAGAAGGTCTGATGCTAACACAGTTTACCAGGCTCCATTCTTCATGCGCCACATATGAGCGCCTATCACTTAGTACATGAAGTTGTTTGATGGGTGATATTTATATTTTGTTTCGTAATTGCGTTCTTGAAAAAGCATGCTAGACTAATACAAAAAAATATTATTTGTGGCGTGATCTATAACAAATCCTAGACGAAAATGACATTTTGAGATGAATAAAT